TAAATACTTACAGTATAAGAGTAAATTTGAAAGATACAATTATACTAAAATTGATAAAATATAAGTCATTAATTTGTTAAAATATATTTATTTTGTAAAAGTTTTAAAAGTTGAAAAGTATGTTTTCAATTTTTTATTTTACTTTTCTTTCTTATTTTTAATCCAAACATTACGTGTCATGTGATATATTATTAGAATATCACGTGACTTTTTATAATTAAAGAACAAAATGGATAACATACTTCATGAAAAAAATAAAGGTCAAAATTAAATAAAAAAAACTTTAAATACCAAAATGATAATGATGTCTATTTAAATGAAAAAAAATATCAAGCAACGGTAAAATTATGACAAACGCCCTAATAAATTTAAGAACTACAATAGTTATAAGTAACATCATATTTATAAGTAATTTATTTTCTTTTTCTATAAAATTCTTTAAGTTTATTTTCTCTAAACTTTTATAAATTTTAAATTAAGCGGGCTTTAGCGGGTTTAACGGGTAGCCCGCGGTTATACCCATTAAACCCACGGGTTTAACGGTCCGGGCTAAAAAGCCCGCAATTTAAACGGTCTTCAATTTTTGAGGCCCGAAGCCCTCACGGGTCGCGGGTTAAACGGGTAGCCCGCGGGCCTTAGCCCATATACCCAGCTCTACTCTCAACATTCAGAATTCACTCTCAGAATTCACTCTCCAAGTGTTTCTAAATATTTTCTCTGTGTGCTTTCCGATCAGAAGTGCAATACCACCATCAGTCCACTCCAGTTTTGGGTGTACGGAATTCAGAGCGACCGTATTAACCTCGGGGGACGGTCCACCTACTGTAGCGATTACACACATCGGGGCAAATTCGTTTCTAAGGTAGTGGTTTTACCACGACACGGTTTACGAATCTGTTCCTTTTAAATTACTGTTTATCTTTCTTGTCAGTGCTAACGGTGTGGTTTTGCAGTCCATATTTCCAACACCGATTAGGTGCATTAGACGCACTAGCACCTTGATTGCTCTATAAAAAGTTGGTGTGTTGCTTCTATAATGAGTTAGAGGAGTTTAAATAAGGAATACTATTACGATTTGTAATTTCTCATATAGCAAATTGAAGAATGAGTTAAATAAATAATTATTAAAGAGATTATCTTTTTTGTAATAGACACATGAGATTGTTATTACTTATATTCTTTTAATAGTATTCGATTTTTTTGGAGTTAATCATATCACCTAAAAAGATACTTGAGTTGAGAGTGATGTAAAAGCATCCACCTCATGTGCTCCAGTTAATCTTCTCTCTCTGATGTAACTCGAATTGTTAGATATTGGTAATCATTATTTGCTATCTTTTCAAGAATTTCATAGACTTCATGATAAATTGGTAGGATTTGTCAAGAAGAGTTCCATTAGCTAATGCATCAACCACCATATAAATTGAACATTTAATGATTCCATTTGAGTTCATCGAAGAAAACCATAACATTAATATTTTTTAAAGAATTCATTGAGTCTCTTCTAAACTTCATAAATCATCTCATTATACGGTTATCTAAAAAAAGTAATATCATTTCTTAATTGAAATTGTTCAAAAAAATCATTCCTTAATTTAACATTCCTAGTAGATGATATTTGAGCCAAATAATAATAATAATAATAATAATAATAAAAATAAAAAAATTAGATCAAGTCATTCCAAGTTGTAACTGAGTCAGAGGGCAATGAATTTAACCAAATTTGCTCAATTTTTCAACGAATAAGAAAACAACTCCAACCTTGAAATTTTTATGCACCCTTTGTTGTCTAAAAAATCCTAAACTTCGGTAAACAACTTTATATGATTTCGAATTTTCAACAGACATCACATTAAATTATCATACTATTTGAAGCATTTAAAATATTACAAGCTCTCATTCAAATTATGATACTTGAATGATAGGCATTTCAATTCTCAAATTAAACTCAAGATAACATATTCTCTAATATTTCAAGTTCTATCATCTAACTCATTAGGAACAATTGCTACATTCATTATTTCTCTTATGAAAGTTCACTAAATTTTAGGATAAAGTAAATATAATTTTAGTTTTCTATTCATTTATCTTGGCGAACACCTGGGAGTAACAAAAGAAAAATAAAGTAATTATTATTATTTTTGATAAAATGTAATTCTAATTCCTACTTATTGGGGAGGAGAATGCGACTTTAGAAGAAGGAATGCGGTACTCTTAATGAATTTAGAACTCGTGACTTAATATGAGGGAATGAAGATGAACAACAAAACCAACCAGATAAACGTACTTTAGCTAACTACTAAAACTAAAATTAATAACCAAAAACAATTCACACAAATTTATAATACGCGACAATAAATAAAAACTCGTTGACAATTTTTCTAGTTAGGAATTAATGTGCAAGTATAGGCAATCAAACAAATAACAAAGAGGAAAGTCGAATATTGTCCCACAATGATTGGTTAAGTATGATTTGAAGTTAGAATCATCTTTCTGGTGAAACAATCTCTCTCTTCTGGTGAAATTTCAGCTCTTATTATCCTACTGATTTTCATAAATTAAAATGATGTGTTGTCGTTCTCTACTATATACGCCCATAGGCCGTCTGCTAACTAATCAAAATAAAGCTGATGTGGCTATCTGTAGCTGACTCCGATTTTCTTTAACAGTGTTACAACATGACTTTGCTCAGTTTTTTCTTCTTTCACTTCTGCCAGACCTTCTCTTCCTTTGCTCAGATTAATATTCATGCACAATGCAATTAAAATTAAAACAAACGATTACCGATAGATTCACGTGATATATTAAGAGTCGGATCTATCCTACTAACATACGAGCAATTATCATTATTTACGTCTAATACCATCATTAAAAGTCATTATAAAATCTACCAAGACTGTGAGAGATCTAGCATCATTCTCTTCACTTCATTATCTTCTTCCAATTCTACTTTTGGAAAAATAAAAGAAAAAAACCGTTTGCAGCATCACCATTAAATACCAATTATGACTCTCTTTTTAAATCAAAACTGGTAATCATCGCCTCACTACATATGGTGGTTCGGGCAAAAACTGGGCATCGTTGAACCCATGATTCAAATGCAGAAAAACGACCATTATAAATTTCAAAGAAATCTAAACTACCATAATTTTAAAACCAACATAAAATCTTCTCAGATCATACCAGAAAAAAACGACAACAAGAAAAAAACAGAAGAAAATTACAAACAATACAATAATATCCAAAACTGGTATGACTCACAGCCTCACATAGAGTAGAATTATTTATGATGCTTGCGTAAGAGAAATCAATCAATTGTAATATTTTAACACAATACAATAATAAAATCTAAAATCAGTATGATTCACATCCCTTCCCACACACACAGAGTTGAATTATTTATGATGCATACGTGAGAGCTAAAATCAATCAATTTTAATATTATAAGAGTCTATTATTAAATAAGGAACATCAGCCAAGACGTGAAACATTTGTAGATGAAATCTAGATATTTGTAATGTATTTTACCAAAAAAAAGATTAAAGATATTGTTATATTAAGATACAACATCATCTCCCTTAATTTTTTAAGGGTTAATAATAAAAATAGAACAAAACAAAATAGAACTTTAATGATGATTTTACCAAAACAGAAGTTTGGTAGCCAAAATAAAAAGCAAATAGTTTAGTGAACAATAATGTATTTTACCCAAAAAGATGAGAGGGAGAGAGAGAGAGAGAAATAAATAAAAATAATTAAATCAGAAAAAAAGAGGGAAATACCCCATTTTTTTCACGTGAGAAACAATCCAATAATGCAGAGCTGACTTTCACTTTCCATATATAATCATACTCTATGGTTTGTTTAGACTTAGAGTGTGAGTTCAGAAATAATTAAATTCAATAATATTAATTAAAATAATTTTTTTTTATTTTTTGAATATATTCAAAAATTAATCGTTAATCAATTTGAATTATTTATAAAAAAGTTAACTGAATCAAATAATTATAGTAAACTTGATTAATTTTTAAATAATAAAAAAATTGATTCAAAATAATAATTCAAGTAACAATTTTTTGAATAGATACTTTTAAAATTCTTTATTGTTAATCAATTTGAATTATTTAAAAAAAATAACTGAATCAAAATAATTATAGTTAACTTGAATGATTTTTAAATTAATAAAAAATAAGTTAATATAATTTCAATTTTGATTCAAAATAAGAATTCAAGTAACAATAAATTGAAAATAAATTATTTATTAGATAATCTTTATTTATATATTTTTTATTTAAATTTAATTTTAGAGTTAGAAACAAACATTAGATTTTAAATATCTAGATTTTAAATATCATGAAAACTTAATTTTAAAATGAAAAATATATTAATTATATATTAAAATTTTAGTTAATTTAATAGATTAGTCGGTTTCAAACCGAGTTAATCAATTTTAATTTATTTCTTAACTATATCTGACGAATATTACAGTAATTTGTCATTTAATTAAATTAATTCAATTCTATCGCTTAATTCATTTTTAACATGGAACACCAAATCCTATCTGATAAAAGTACGTAATTCTTAACTAAATCTACGCTGTTCGTTCTACGCTTCATTGAATTCCAAAAAGCGTCAACCGTCCGCAGAACTGTACCTTTCTCAGAGGAGAAGTCCGGCGATCCCTCCTAGCTCTTGGTAAAGTCTGGCCTCATTTTGGTGACAATAGAAAAACCCCCAAAAATAGTCTTTCCGATCTCAGCAAAGTTTTTGGATTACATTGACCTCAAGGGAAGTTTTTGGATTTATTCTGTTTGTTTGTGGAGTGTGTTTCCCATTTTGAGTCTCGTTTCTTTGATTCTGGATTTGATTTCAGGATCATAATTTTATCCTATTAATGTTTCAAATATGAATTCTTTATTATTTTCTTTAACTTTCAGGTCATTTGTGGTGAGCAAAACAAGTTCGCTGATGCTTCAAGAGTGAAGGAATTTCGGTAACAGCATGACGGAATTTCCAGGATTTGGGGGGATGAAAACTGTGATAGTTACTTGCTTTTCTATGGTGAAACTGAGCTCGGGAATGGATTACGAGCCTTCTGTATTTCTTGGCCTGTCTTATTGGCTTCATTGGGCTGTCAGCTATAACTGCTCGTTTTCTTCCGATCAATGGAGAATGTTGTGAAACACTCCCGTACAGTTGTAGAGATAGATCCTTACACTAATACTGAAATATTAGACAAGAAAAGGTGTGGAATTATACTATTGCAGACATCACTCTGCTTGCCTTTGGGACTAGCTTCCCTCAAATATCTTTAGCAACTATTGATGCCATTCGAAACATGGGAACCTCTATGCTGGAGGTTTGTTTGTTATATGCTCTTTCTCTATTTTCATTAATTAGAACAAATTTTAATTTTGAAATGGGATATAGGTACTATGTCTTAGTGAACCATGAATAATGATCATCTGTCATTGATATCTGTTAGATTACTTAACTACAGGTTTGGGTCCTGGCACTCTTGTGGGTTCAGCTGCATTCGACCTTTTCCCCATCCATGCTGTTTGTGTTGTAGTTCCAAAAGCAGGAGAGTTGAAAAAAATCTGATATAGGTGTTGGCTGGTGGAGCTCTTTGGTCCTTTTGGGCTTATGCTTGGCTCTACATAATTTTAGAGGTAGCTTTAAGTAACTGCTTCTGAAGTAAAGCTTCATGATTTGTATTTATAGCAATATTAATTATTTATGCTGTTAGCTGAAAACCTTTATACTGTTTCTTTGATTTTCAGTGAAGAGGTTTAAGAAAATTGTTTTCATTTTGTATAAACTGTAGTTAGTTTCACCATTTCTCTATGTTCAATTAATGGGTAAGTGCATTACACTAAATGGGTCACATCTATGAAGAACTTGGTCATGGATAGATCTTAATTCATTTTGCAGGTGTGGACACCAAATGTTGTACACTTTGGGAAGCCTTATTGACAGTCCTGATGTATGGACTACTGCTCACTCATGCATATGCTCAGGACAAACGCTGGCCTTATATATCCCTTCCCTTGTATGCATTTTTCTTCTTCCCCCTATTATGTCTCTGTGCTGTTATGCTTCTGATTTCTTTTCTTTTCATCTGATCAAGAAGTGAGAGGCCTGAGGACTGGGTGCCAGCTGAGGTTGCCTCAGTTGAATATGAGGATATGCCTATGATGGGTACCCTGAGATACATGCAGTTGGAGAAGATGAAAATAAGGAAATTGTTGATATTTTTTCCATTCATTCAGAAAAACAAGGTAATAGCACTCTTCTGACTACATTGTTTTGATTAAGGTGACAGCTTATCATTGACTATGATCCTCTAGCAGTCTTTCCCTTAGAAAACTAATACGAGTGAAATCATATCTTCAAATTAATGTTACATATGATGGAACATGTACAACATAAGCATTGTTCATCAAAACTATAATTCAATATCCACTTGCCTTCTTTTATGCTATTGAGATATAGAATCATAGAAGATGAAGTCATAGAGAAGACATGGAATTAGAAGTTAGAGGCTGCAGGTTACCAGATTGTGCTCAATAAGGCAAATTAGAAACCAAAATAAAGAGAGGTTCTGGTATGCAATGATTCATGGATATTGATGCTGGACAAAATCATGTTTATTTTAGATGATTTAAATTAATTAGTTGTCTCTTATTATTCTAACGGCGTTGAGAGGTTGGCTATAAGCCAATAGCAACTTAGTTAATATTAAGTTTCAGTAGCTTAAGCCGATGATGGATTAATCAGAACTAATTTTAAAAATTCTAGTGGTTGCAGACCCTATTTATCAGAAGCTGCCTCCAACTGAAGATTTAGTTGAAACCTCCGACGTACCCTTTCAGAAGGAGACCAATTCAGAAGCCTTCATGTGCTTGAACTCTGGAAAACACAGTTCGTGGATGCACTTACAGTATGTATCTTTACACTGTAACATCTTATAATTATTGGTGAATTATTTAGAGCTAAAAAGAAGAAAGCAATCTATCATTGTAATGATCGCCTCAATCTCTCGTCTCTAGAAGTTGGAACAAACATTTCTACATGAAGCTCCCTTGAGTTTTCCCCTTTAAGTAGATCTTGCTTCCTTTGTTTGAGTCAGCACTTCAAGTTTCTTGGAGCTTATGCATGTTAGATTTGGACATTTTATTTTTTCTTTGATCTAGTTATTTTCCATCATATCCCATGTGCACACAAGAGAACTTCTTTGCCCACCTCCCTCTTATCTAAGCTTAGCAGTAGTGAATAATTCCTTATTTTTTAAACAGTTGGAAAAACGTCAACCAAAGGAACTAAACAATATCTATCTTCGGCTAGCAAGAATATTTTGGCAGTCACTACTTACCATGGAGACTCCTGTTCGCTTTTGTACCTCCTTATCACATTGCTCATGGATGGATTGCCTTCATATGCTCTCTAATTTTCATCAGTGGGATAGCATACATTGTAACAAAGCTGACTGATCTCATAAGCTGTGTCACAGGTTTTTCATCCTTCCACCCCCCACCCCCAACACACACCCCAAAAAAAATATTATTTTTCCTATTGGTTATCAAGTGAATTCTCTATTATGCTCCGAGATGGTTATGTCATAGCATTTACAGCATTAGCAGCTGGAACTTCATGGCCAGATCTAGTGGCAAGTAAGATTGCTGCTGAACGTCAGATAACAGCTGACTCTGCTATAGCAAACATTACTTGCAGGTATAGCTCACGGAATGTTGTATTTTAGCTGTACTTCAAAATCTAGAGACCCAAGTCTTTCTATTAGGAGTTTCTGTAATGACTGATATTAGTTAATTCAGTATAAGGTACCAAATGGCTAAATCCTATGAAGCTGTTTCAGTGTTACCATAAGATTCCTTAATTTAAGAGGAAGAAGAGGTGCCTTTGTTTTACTTCTAAGATTTAAAGCTTTAGAGTGATGTCAATTGCTCCACCACTTTTATCTGAAGTGTTCACATTTGGCAAGGTAAAGATAAGACTACTACTGAGTTTCTGAAATGTGTCCTTTTGCAGTAATTCGGTGAACATTTACATTGGCATCGGCATTCCGTGGTTGATTGATACTTTATACAATTTCATTGCATATGGAGAACCGTTGAGAATAGAAAATGCAGACGGACTCAGTTTCTCTTTGATAGTGTTCTTCTCTACTGTTGGGTGCATTTCGGTTTTGGTGATTAGGCGCCTGATACTGGGGGCAGAGCTTGGAGGTCCTAGGTTTTGGGCCTGGGTTACTAGTGTATTCTTTATGTTGCTTTGGCTTATATTTGTTGTGCTCTCTACCCTTAGAGTTTCTGGCTTCATATAATATGTTATTTAGCATTTGTTTTCTTTTTTACTGTATAATTTTTCAATTTAGAGACCCCTTTATTCATATATGATTCATAATAGTAATATTTGATAAAATAAAATAATTTATTAGTGACGTAATGGACAAATTGTCCCCTAAGTTATATTTATTTTCTCAATTTAGTACCTAAATTTTTAGACAGAAGTGCCCCTCTAAACTATTATTGACCAATAATTCTTGTCATGTCACCATGCTAGTGTTATTTACTTTAATAATACTGATTTTATTACCAAGAATGCGAGTCCAGTGGTAAAGGCATACTAGTCCTTATCTAGCCCAGGTTTGAATACTCCAACCCTTCTCTTCTTCCATTTATTTTCCTTTAGTTAAATGGTAACGTGTCATGAGACATCTAATCTAAATAAAATTGAAAGATTGATAACCGATACAAGTGTAATTTATCCAAAATAAATTTATTGTCTAAAACATGTTCAGATGTCAAAATATTTGTTAATCCGAACACAAACCAAACAATAATGCATGTGAAAGCCTTGCCTCAAATCACTTGGTGAGAGTAAATTAAAAAAATATCTAAATACTTAAAAAATTCAAAATCAAAACATCATGAGTATAGTTTAACTGTTTTAAAATCAATTAATCGAATCAATCCAAACCAATAACTTCGAGTTCTGTTCGGGTTTTTTTTAGTAGTACTTTCTTTCTCAGAAAACGGTCCGAACTGATATCCCTCAAACCCTAATTTCCATTTAAACAACGCAGAAATAGCCATTGTAGTTTCAAAGCCCGAAAGCCAGGACAAATTTACAATAACAAAGCAGTTTATTAGGCGACATGAACAAAGAGTTCAACAAGGAGGATTGCCTTTTGAGCAAACCTATTCTACCATTTCATTTAATAGCTACTCAATGCAAGTTGAAAATCCATGAATAATTGAGAAAACCACTCCCAAAACAGTAACCCCCCTCAAAATCAGTACAAATTCTTTGCTTAAGCAAGGGCACTTGTACAGGCTGTGGCAGGAGAAGCACTTCCAACCTTTACACAACTGTATTTCTTGGTGATGAATCTACAACAAAAAGGACATTTCACAATGAAATATTCAGCTTTGATTTGGTTGAAGGAAAATTAAAAACATCACTGCAAAGGTGAATCGAGGTCATTTTACCTGAAGAAATCCCTCCACAGCAACTCATACATCAACCAGTTCATTTGAGTATCAGGTGAGCCACTACCGCCATCATTTTTCTTTGAAGTAGCAAAATGGTCCTGCAGACCACATAAAATGCATTCAACAATAGTAAATATCTGATAACCTGAAATTGTTTATACCACAACCAAGCCTTCTCCAACTACATGGGGTTTGTATGAATCAATTTCCTCCATTGTAATATGTTTTCGTCCATATCCACAAGAAAAAGCTCAATATTGTACATTTTAGAGATAGAAAAAAAGGGGGTAATTGAAAGCATACCTATTCGCAGTTTTCTTTAGTTCATCAAACATGAACCTGGGAGATATGCATCCCATGGCTAGCATGGAGATATTTGCAAGAAAAGTTAGCACCGTATATCTGTCCTGGCTACCATCCTTGCTCCCCTTGTACGGCTGTGCTTGACACTCAGCTGCAAATTTTTTAAGCCTCTGCAATGCTTCATTCTCCCCCCAGCCATAGTAGCACTAACAGATTGCCTACCGTCCTAGATGTAAACAAACAATACTTGCTTTCTCAATGCCTTTACAGAACCATAATCCAAATCAAACAAAATCCTAAGTATAGCTTCCAAAAGAACACTCCCCAATAATCATCATCCAAACAACCATAAGGCACAGCTACCATTGCTAATTGAATCCAGTTCAAATGAGTTACATCTATCAGCATTCATTAGATGCAATGTCTAAATCAAACATCTTATTAACTCTCAACAATGAAGACTATACAGTGACTGACAACACATGTGAGTACCCTAATACTTCAACTAGTTTGAAGCGAAATGCAAACATAAATTAATTAATATTGCTAAGAAAACATTGAACATAAATTTAAATATCAAATTCAAACCTGAGCCATTGTGGCACTGGGGTAAGTCCCAAATCTGTCAATGAAGGAATATCTCCAGCCTCCACATCACCTCGAAGGCATTCCTTTCATTTGGTCCAGTGCTTCAATCGTCTTCTTATCTCAAGCCTTTCACTTTCTCCTTAAATCCCCGTAATTGGAAGGCATATCTTCCAATTTAAAAGGCAAATCATCATGGAACAAAGTACTTCCCCAAAAGTACTTAACTCAACCCTTCTTCCTTCATGGCCGCCTCAGTCTTTTCCTCGCTTGACTCATCATGAGATACTTCTCTATGAGCATAAATAGCGTCAGCCCAATAGCTTTAGCTAACTCAACCAGAACACTCTCCGGCTTCCCAATTCGGACCACGAGATCCGACCCTCGTGCTTGTAGATTCTTTCGGAGATCCGAAACTGATTCAATCAAGAATGTGGCTCTGTAGGGACCCGTTTTATCGAACCCAGACGAGGATTTCCCGTAATCTCGAGGGTCAAAACAGTACACAGGCAAAACAGACATGGACTCATTGTTGGCCGTGTTGATACACTCGTTGTCGTGGACCCGTAAATCGTTGCGGAACCAAACGATGGAAGCTCGGCGAATTGCGGCGCCATTGGAAGGGTCCAGAGGGCGGCGCGGACCCAAGGAGAGAGGAGACTGGAGAGGGTTGTTGGCAAAGGTGGATTTGAATGAAAATTTGGAAGGGGAAGGGGAAGTGAGGAAAGAGAGAGATTACAAAAGGAGGAAGCCTGGGTTGGAACTTTCGCTTTAGTGGTTGATTTAGAGGAGAATAAAGATAAGATTTTGGGTTTGAAGAACTGGGTAGGTAGGATTGCGGGCAAGGAATAAAGAAAGAGAAGCAGTGGCAAATGGGGATTGAGAAACTGGATTTTGGCTTGTTCTTCAGTTGATTCGGTTCCTGGGTTTTCACGAGACTGAGTGTCGGAATCCATGGTTGTTTCTGGTGAAGATAAGAAAGCTGGGCGTGGAGGAGACGGTGAATGTGGGGAGGTGAACTGGTAGTGAGAGACGCTTTGTTGTGATCCCCTTGCCCGCCTTATAGTCTTGAAAAAAAAATCTATTTTTGTTAGTGCCTTATTGATTCTAAATTTGTGGTTCACTACTCCAACAACTACACCTATAAAATTTCTACCATTTTCAAAGTTCTATTAAGTCTTAATCCACCTTTCAAACTTGGGCAAAATTATTTTGTACAATGAATTAATTCGGGGCTCACTTTACTTGCCTTTGGAGGGATGGGTTGGTAGAATAAAAAACAAATCAATTGTCTGCAGCAATACTTTAAAATTTAAGAAAGTGTTTGGTTGACTAATTAAAGGATAGATTTAAACTTTAGAATTTTAAAATTGAATTTATTTTGTCTAAGATCTCCAAAACATTGCTCAAAGCCCGTATCAATCCATTAATCAGGCATGATGTTGCACTGAATTCACCACCCAAACCTGTTGCCCTAACCCAAAACAAAAAACCTCCGACCCAAGCCAGGTCTACCCGGTCTCTAATTAGCCTCTCCTTCCTCCAACCAAGAGAGCAAACCCTATCATAAACTCCTTCACTCAACCCTTATCCTAACAAACCCACCCTAATCGTATTCATTCAATCCCTAAAACACCTCTCATTACCAATAGCAACATGGAGGACCCTGAAAATATGACCTGCAACCGAATACTGTGGCTACATTCTTCTATCTTCTTTGCTCATGTACATGATTTCTAATTAATGAATTTCCATTTTGATTAAAAAAAAAGTAACAAGTGAACACATTATGCCGCCATGCTACTATTATGAAGTTAATGGTGACTGTGATTCGAATTGTAACATTATTTAAGGTTTTGTTATAACAGGTGTTTAGTATAACAACTTTCTTCCCTCCTTTTTCTTTTTGTGTGGAGAATGTAATCTACTAAATTGGTTTAGGATTTTGATTGCCACTTTTCAGCTTAAAATTGGGATACTCGGATGAAAAATTGTAATAACAATAACAACTTTCTTCCATCCTTTTTCTTTTTGTGTGTGAGAATGTAAATCTACTAAATTGGTTTAGGATTTTGATTGCCACTTTTCAGCTTAAAATTGGGATACTCGGAATGAAAAGAACCAAAAGTAAGAACTGCGGGGTCGACAACAGTGAAGACGCCAGGCATATTTTATGCTCTTCTTAGTTGACTCTGAGTTTGAGGTTTTGCTTCTTGTTTAGTCCCATGAAATACGATTACACATAAAACACAACATCATAGAAGTAGAAGGAAGATAGCGACACGTCCAACATTGACCATTCTGAGCTCTGCTATGAACTCCCTCTATATATGGAAACTTTGTTGCTGCCTTTCAAACTGAGAAATGGAGGAACAACTCCAAAATACATGTATAATCTGGAATGTTTACAGAGATTTATATGCATGTATGCCAGGGCCATCCACTGCGTTCCCTGTGGCATGCAAAACAAATGCAACCAACTGCCATGCCCAATGTACAATGTCATACACAACAGGTTCAATTCAACTGACAAACACTCTACTTCCTGCTACGGCCATGCCTATCTAATCACAGAAATATTATCTCAACTTTCAATTTCAACAGGTAGCAAGCAGAAACCGTCAAGTCAGATACCTTGTAAACAACTAGTAACAGGACTGAGAAGGTTATAAAGAATTCAGAAAGCTGAGATCAGGCATGCATGCATGCACCTCAGGCTGGGTAGAGGAAAGCACTATTCTCCAGTAAAAAAAAAAACAAAAGGAGACATCAGCACAACTCGGAAAACTCAAACAAGAATCAGGACAAGCTACCTCAGAGATTTCGTATGATCATCATGCTATGGCCGACTTAAAACAGGAAGAGATGGACGTGGTCTAACAACATTCAGCACACCCCTAGCAGTTGCCTGTAAATAGAGAAAAAACAGCATGTAAGAAAGGTATGGGTGCTAATTTTTTTAGTATCTGTATGACTGCATGTATCCCTACC